ACGAGCTCAATTCCTAGTAAAAATCAATCAATCAATCAATCAATCAATCAATCTTGGACCTCATTGACTCCTTTACTACTTAAATTATGGCCTGCAGCATTGGTATTACCAGGGTATGTGCTCTGTGTGTGTGTGTGTGTGTGTGTGTGTGTGTGTGTGTTGGGGATTGAACCCAGGGCCTTGCACATGTGAGGCACAAACTCTACCACTGGTCTAATACACCTTTACTCAGAACTAGCATTTTCATCCAGACCCCAAGCAATACTATTGCCCAGTCAAGCTCCAGAAGTACTGCTATAGCCCACATTCCCCACTCAACAGGGAAGAAGAGAATAAAGGTTCTCAATTAGCTGTCTTTTCAGGTTGAGATTGCAGAGGTTGGGAGGGCTCATGCAGGAAGTTAATGCAAGATGAAAAAGGACCTTCACAAGAGAAGGAAGCTCCGACCTGCGAGCTCATGACTTTCCTAGCTGTACTGTATTATATAGGAAGCAGAATGGAAAAGATGGGCAGCATAGGAGGTGGAGAGAAAGAGTTTGCACTGCTCCTGAACATGCTTTGGGGTGGAGATTGAGCTAGATGGAGCTGGGGATGGGGAACAGAGGCTTGGCGAGAACAGGCCTGAGAAATGGAGAAGGAACTGCTGCTTGGGTTGAGGGAGTGGGGCAGGTAAGCAGGCTGTGGTCCACCTTTAAAGTCTGAAATCCTGAAATAAGAATTGTTTTAAGTACTCAGAAAGATCCAGGTTGGCCATCTCACAAGGAGCCTAAAGGTCATCAGTGTAAGAAGTTAAGAATGAGAATGAAATATGAATGGATTTCACAAACAAAATGTGAAAAAAATCTGTGGTAATAATGATCTGTTGACATTTGTAAAGCACAAACTTGTTCAATACTAATTTCCGAATATAAACTTCCTTTGGCATACCTGTGAAAAAAAGGATCACACGGTTGACTATAAAAAAACAAACAAAAGTAAAAAGCTGTTATCTGTGTAAAGCAGCAACTCTCCTTTGTTCTTTAAACTCTCTCTTCAAAAAAGTAGTCTGACCAGAGTTTATTTCTTTAGGCATTAGAGATCAGACGGCCTGACTTGGAAAAGAGCCATCAAGGACTTGATGTTCTAAAGGACTTTTTGAGCCAAGAACTATTATCAGGGACACAGTGTTCTCTGTGTCCAAGCAAGCCCTGCGCAGAAGCCTAAATGTACAGTTACAAGAGTAGTACTTTACAGTGTATAGCCAGACCTAATTTAAGCTGGCTATTCTTTTTATGACTTTACATTATTATGATTGCATAATAGGTTACATTAGAAAGAAGTGGTAAAGATCAAAAGAACAAGTAAAAGTTTTCATTTTTTGGTCAGGCTAAAGAGTTATAAAAAGTATACCGAGGATGATCCTTTTAAAAATGGACATACAAGTACAGAAAAATAGCCATATATTGTTTGTGTACACAAACAATAGCAATAGACTAGCTGTGGTGAGAAGGCAGAAAAAATGCAACCTCTGGATTCTAAGGCAGTAATCGAAAAGAGGAAAAAAAGCCAAAAATGAGTATGTAAAAAGAATTAGTAACACAGTTCAGGTTACGTAACAAGTCTGGGCGAGACTTACGTTTTCGAAGACTTGCCATAGCCACCTCTAAAGGAACCTGTTTCGTGAGGTGGAAGCTCTAGCCCATCCTCCAGCCCAGGACTCTGCTGTGCTCCAGGAGACCCACGTGGGCAGAACTGTCAGGGAATTCCACTGTCACCATTGTCACACATCATGACATTGACATTCTGATCTGATGCAGTCACAGAGGCTTTAAATATTTAGATGGGGGCTGAATTGATACTAAATAATGCCAATTTGACAGTCTCTTGGAAATGCTTTGCTCTAATATAGTATATATTAAAACATCTACTGGTGGTTTTCCAAATGTTTGCTGCTCAGACAAGATTTTAAAAAGCACCAAAAAGATTAAGTGGGGTGGGCATTTCAATGTGGTTGAAATGAACACAACATCAAACTTCTTGTTACAGCTACCAAAACCCTTATGTTACTATTTATTTATTACTACTCTTTATAAGAAATTATTATGATTATCTTAGTAACTCAGTCCTTTTGGTAAGAAGTAATCAACTGGGGGCATTCTAGTAGCAAAGTTAGTTTTCACTGTCAGCAGTGACTAGATAACTGACTTCCTGTTCAATTCCCAGATGAAAACACATGGAAGGAAGTGCTTGTCAGATCAAACACTGGTGACAAAGAACAAACTTGAGAAGATGTCGGGTGGGGTGGGTTGACAACTGGTGGTCAGCTTGTAACCAGCAGATGAACTGAACCAGTATAGCCCTGGCTGTGGGAGGCCCACTTGAGAACTGTTGCTGGCAGCCTAAGAGTCAGGGCTGCAGAGGAAGATGTTTAAAAGCTGTTTGGAAGCTGCTGGTTCCCTTGGCCTGCTGTTCTGCTGGAGGACCTTGTCATGCTGCCTTTCCTGATTGAACTTGGTTGTTCACTTTAGGGGAGCTTTGTTCACTTTGAGCATTGCTTCTGGATCTAGAGGGGAAGACACTGCACTACTCAGTCTCCTGGAGAAGTATGTCACACTGGCTTTCCTGATGCAAACTCGACTGTCCTCATGAGAAGAGCTCAGGACCTTGTTGTTGTGGAGGATGGCTGTGGTACTTTTCCAGGGAGCTCTGGTCTTTGAGACTGAGCTGGGCATGGGAGCACACACCTGTAATCCCAGCATGTGGGAGGCCAAGTCAGGAGGACCACCATGAGTTTGAGGCCAGCCTGGGCTACACAATGAGATCCTGCCTTGAAATAACACAAAACAAGACATACACAAAAACCCCTTTAGGATTTACTTAGGAGCTAGGGGGCTTTACTCTCAGCTACTTTAAAGGCTGAGGCAGAAGACTGTTAAACCCAGGAATTCAAGATCAGTCTGAAAAAGAGCAGAAACTTACCTCTAAAAAAGTAAAGCGTGAAGCTCAGGAAAGAAAAGAGCTAGTGTGAACACTTGCGATACTTTTATAGTCTCATTACAGTATAGTATAGTACACGAAGGACAGCTAAAATAAGTGAAAAACCCATCAGAGCTAGACCAAACAGTAACTATACAAAAGTGCAAACGGAAGAACAGTATATAGAACAAGGCTCCTCACATGAGGTAGTTCCATGCAGCCCTGAGAGAGTAAACACTGGCTTTTCTCTTAAGATTTGCTCTTTATTGGGACTGAGAAGAGCAAAAGTAAAAGACAGGATAAATTTAGGAGAGCACCAGAGTGAAGGACAAAGTATTTGAAGAACGCTTTTAGGTATGTGTACAGAGTATTCCCTAAGTGAATCCTCTTCTCAGAGTCAAGTGGCAGACTCAATGCCCTTTCAAAGCCTGCATTGTTCATGACTTGAAAAATTCTATCAGTCTAGAGCAGTTTTTGTTTTGTTTGTTTTTTGGTGGTACTGAATATTGCATCGAGGTTCTTAGCCCACGTTATTATTATTTTATGGCACTGTGAATTGAATCCAGGGCCTTCACACTGACCTTTTTTAAACTTTTGAGCTAAGTGGTCAAAGTGCCCATGCTGGGCCATCCTCCTGCCTCAGCCACCCAGAGTGCTGGATATATCTATATCAATATTTAGATCTATATCTACATTCATGTAAATGCACAGATTTTAAGTGTTCAGTGTAATTAAATTTTTTGGCTGTCCTGGAGGGTCTGTACCAAGGAGCCTGCATTTGCAAGGCAACTGTTCTATTACTAAGCTACATTTCCAGGCCCTTTCATATTTTTCGAGACAGGGTCTTGCTTGAACACACAATCCTCCCATCTCAGCCTCTCAGTAGCTTGGATTACCTGTTTGCACTACCATATCCAACTCAGTGTGATGAATTTCAGTTAACGTACACATGTACCTATATTATCATTACTCATATCAGCATACAGAACTGTCTGCTGTCTACAGAAAGTTCTCCATGTCCTTGTCCTCTGGTAACTACTATTCTGACTTTTATCACCATATCATCTGGTTTTTGTCTGCATTTGCAGTACTGGGAATTAAACCTAGGGCCTTGAACATTCTAGGTAAGTGCTCTTCTGATGAGCTATATCTTCAGCTCTAGTTTTACCTGTTCTTGAACAGTAAATCATACCCTATCTGTGGTAAGGAAAGAAGTGTCATAGAAGGCAGACATAAACATTTTTAGTTGAAAACTAGGGCATGGTGGCACATACCTGTAATCCCAGCACTCAGGAGGTTAAGGCAGGAGGATGGTTGCAAATTCGAGACCAGCCTGGCTGTCACGAGCTCAAGGCCAGCCTGAACTGTATAGCAAGACCCTATCTCAAAGAGACAGAAAAAAAAAAAAAGAAAAGAAAGAAAAAAAGAAAGCTAAGGAGGCTGATAATGTGAATTGGCTAGCAAGAGGCTACAGCTGAGTGACAACTATTAAAATTTAATCATGTTGTTATATTAAAACTGATTAAATAAAAAATTTGTATATTCTAGAAATTCCTCATAGCAAGTGATACAATTAATACTGTTCAAAGCTGAATGCTGTGGTGCATGACACTAGTCCCAGTTTTTTTTTAGCACTGGGACTTGAACTCATGACCTGGCATTTGCCAGGTAGGTGCTGTATTACTGAGCTATATCCGGGGCTATACTCTCAGTTGTTTGGAAAGCTGAAGCAGGAGGATCACTTCAGCCTAAGAGGTCAGGGTTAGCCTGAATAATGTAGAAAGACTCCAGCTCTTTTTCTCTCTTTCTCTTTTTAAACAATGTATTTAGTACAGGAAGTATAGGGCCTCACTACACAGATTGGACTCGTAGTGATTCTCCTGTTTTCAGCCTCCCAAGCATTGGGATTAAAAGCACGCGCCACCATGCCCAGTCTCAGTTGCTGTCCCTGGCCACTACATTTTGCCTAAGTAGGTGATTTAGTCCGCTGAGCTATTTGGCCGGGCCTTCCAACTCTTAAAAAAAAGAAAGAAGTTCACAAACCATTGATGCAATGTAGAAAAGGATTTATAATTTGAATTCTAAAGTGAAGAACAAAAATCTGGTAGAGCTAGAAGCTGAAATTTGCAGCAGCAAAATGCATACAAGAAGCTCCTGAGCTGGGGGAAAAATGAAGCCTTGGGAGAAACACTGCCTTCGGATGCTCTAACTGCTCCAAGTCTGAATGAGCCTCTCAACACAAAGGTTAGAGGAAGTGCGGCTGGGAGTCAATCCGGTGACACAAAAAGCTGGCCCGAACATAAAATTCTGTCTTGAGGGCAGAGGAAATGCCCTAAACAAGCATAGGCTTCAGAGCTCCTAGCACAGACACAAACACAGCCCAGGGAGCAGAGGTCTTCATGTCTTCTGGTGGAGGCATAGCCATTTGGTCGGCACTTCATAGGAGCATCTTTCCACCAGGTCTTCGTCGTATGGGATGTGCCACGAGTCTCCAGTGGTCTGCACGACCGTGTCATAGGTGAGAGCATGCTGTTGAATGAAGAGAGCCAAACAGTGAAGTAACAGTGAAGGGCACCTGTTACCTGGCCAGTTTCTCTCTTTTCAGACAACTTCTTGGCTTGCTTTGAAAGAAT